CCTAAATTCAGAACAATCCAATCCTTAACTGTGGTTATTTAGTTGTCCTGGTTGTGGCATTGGCACCACAAAAGCATAAAAAAGGATTTCCTTTTTTTCGCCCTTCCACTAAACATCTAAGTAAGTATAGCTTAACGGACCCCAAAACCCTATTCCCTTATTATGGCCCCTATATTACGGAATTGCCTCTGCACTCGTCCGTCTTTCCATTACAATCTACTTCTTCCCGCCTCACGGTTGCCCGACAAGAAGCCCTCGGCACAAGTCCCCTGCACATACTCGTAGGTCTTGTGGCAGCTCTCTCGTGCACTGGTCCGGGGTCCAAATGCCCGCAAATTTGTCACATTCCAGAAGGCCACTTGCGGAGCTTCCCCAACGTGGACAATCCTGCTGCAGAAGAGAGGTCTCTTTGCAAGTCGCCACCAAAGGTCGCACTACATACTGTACCGCTCCGTCGCACGTTTCTCTTGGATGCACAAATCCCGCGACGAACCCCTTCCATTCCCCCGAGGACCCCTGGCATCTGATCCCAGCAAGTGATCACGCGTTGGATGCAAATCGTTCTCTCGCCAAAGTCCCGGAAAAAAGGGGCCCTTTTCGGCCCTTTCCTCGAGGCACCTTTTTGCCTCGGGATGCTTTGAAGCCTGTGTAGAAAATTCCCCTGTACGTAGAACAGATTTCCCAAGCCCCCATATAAGTCTATATGGTTCTGTGTCCGGGGGCCCGCGGAAGGGAGTAGGGCCACGATAGTGTTGGTCACTCCTGGGCTTGGGGTTTTCTCCCCCCTGGCCGGTGGTCAGGGGGGAGGAAGCTCTGCAGTAACTAGAAGTACTGGGACTTTGCGCCCTGAACTTAAAGCCGCGGTTCTAGGAAAGTGGTTTAGGATTTTGTAATTGGGTGGGCCTGCAAATAGCGGGTCGCCACCCCGGGCAAGCGGCACCCGGTAAACCAACGCGCATGCTGCCGTCTCTAGTAGGTAGGTGCGGCTTTAAGTTGGGACCCCCTAAGCCCGTAACCTCGCTAGAAAATGGATTATGATGCTCATGCATGGTCGCCCAATGCATGCGCACTTATGTCCGGAAACCACGCCAGCGCCGCATCCCGGGACCATGTCCCGCTGCGAGACCGCTCCAACCTCAAACTTGTCCCCAACAACGCTTGCAGAACGGCGGGCATAGAACGGCTTCCAAAGCACGAGTCCAAGAGGCGTGGACATTTTGCACATTGTGTGGAAGGCAAGCTGGGGACTCCTTCGAGTGCACTCTAGATCTACAGCGATCTGCTTTCGAAATGAGAGCTGTAGCAGTCAGTGCGTTTCGATTGTGGATACTTTAGGGAAAATTTCTGGGGTGCATCCGAAACCCCGGAAACTGCTTATGCAGGCACTGTCGAGCCTCGATGCAGGATTTTGGTGTCGGTGTACAGCGCCCCCTGCGAGCGGAGTGGTCCCTCAGTTGCGAGCTTGTGGCTCCTGTTGTTGCGGGGAGTTCTGACGTGACATGGTTGCGGGGTCGCAATTTCGTAGGACCCGCAGGAACTTCTAAGTTTGGCAGGAGGGAGCAGGTGGTGATGGAAGAAGATCCAGGCTTCAATCATCGAGGTGTTTCAGACGTTTGAGATACCCGTAGTCAAAGTTGGCAATCCGTGGCCAAATGGTTTCGGAATTATTGAGCCTGTTTCTGTTCCTATGACACCAGGTACAAGCATTACAGCATTTGCTTGTTGGTATGTCATTGCTGTTGGTTCCTTGATGTTCATTTGATGCCCAAAAGCTAGGTACCACCACGACTACGAGTGTTAGTTATCATCAGTGCGACCATGGCGATTGTTATTTTGCCTCCTGCTCCTCCTCCTGCTCCTCCTGCTCCTGCTGCTGCTACGACTATGGCTGCCGTCACCACGTGCCCTACCACACTGGTAAGAAGCACAGTTACTTAAAGGATCATGGGACTTAGTAAGTAGGGTTATAAGTAAAGTAACTACAGTTATAATTACCTATAACCCCAATAAAGGTACTTATAACCCTACTTACTAAGTCCCACGAGCCTCCAAGTATGCTGAATCATGCTAGCACGATCCAGTGCAAGGCTCAGAGTCTCGAGCACAAAGCCATGTAAACTCAGGAAAACCAACCCTCCATGAGATCGTGTTATGAAGCCTATAGACTCTAAACCCTATAGAACCCTAAAACCCTAAACCCTAAAACCCTAAAACCCTAAACCCTAAACCCTAAACCATGAGATATCCTAAGAGCCTAAACTAAATCCCAAATCCCGAAGTGCCCGGATCGGCTCCCCGAGGTTTCTGTGATCCCATAAGACCCAGCGGGGCTCGGTTCCAGGGCTCAGTTTAGAAGGGTCTAGGGCTTTAAGGGGTCTAGGGTTTATAGGGTTTAGAGCTTTAGACTAGGGCTTGAGGTTAGGGTTGATTTTCAGGATTTTCTAGTTATATTTAGACTTGGGCTTATACCTCAACCCCTTCCAGATTACATCGTTAAGGACATACATAAAGAAAAAACAGAACAAGGAAACTTCAAAAGGCTGATTTATAGGGTTTATAGGGCTGATGTTCCTAAACCATACGCTCTAAACCCCAAACACCTATATAAACCCTAAGCCCCTAAACCCTAAACCCCTAAACCCCGAAACCCTAAGCCCTACCAGGTACCAGCCGATCCTTTCCGAGCTAGAGGCGGGCGCTGAAGATCTGCCGCACGTTTCTGCTTCTAGGGTTTACCTTAACCCCGGAGAACCTAGAAACCTTTTTAAGGACTAGCATAAAGGAATCATGATAAGGAGCCTTAAAAAGGTAGGTTATTCAGGGTTAAGGTAGGGTTTTCGGATTTATGGGGATTTGGCTTTTGAAGGTTTAGGGTTTTGAAGGTTGAGGGTTTGGGGTATAGGGTTTTTAGGGTTTAGGGTTTTCGAGGTTCAGGGCAATTTCAGGGTTCAGGGCTTTGTGGGGTTTAAGGGTTCAGGAACTCTGCGGCTCGTAGAGCTTTTCAGGGCCTGGGGTTGATATGAAGGGCTTAGAAGGGGCCCCCACCCTGTAATAGTGGTATAATAGGAATATAATAGGGCCCCAATATAATCCTTGTAGTCACTATTACAGGGTGGGGGCAGCTTCTAACGTAGCGCTTACTACAGGATTTAGATGCAGGCCGGACACGTACCAGTAGTACATGTAAGTCGCAGCTGTCATTGTGAACGGCTCTTCGCGAGGCTTTCGGGAAGTGTAGGTACCCAGATCTTGCGACCCCCAACACTAAACCCTAGAATTGCCCGGAAGCCCGAAAACCTTCAACCCTATATACCCCAAACCCTAAAACTTCAGAACCCTAAACCCCCAACCCTAAACCCCCAACCCTAAACCCCCAACCCTAAACCCTGAACCCCCGACCCTAAGCCCTGAACCACCAGGCTGAAGGTATCTTCTTGCGCGAGCATGTGGAGCCCCTCCTTGACGTACCTTTGACTTCCTCTTGTGACTCAGCTGGTCTATCCAAAATCTTAGACCTCATACTTAAAGGCTCATGGGACTTAGTAACGGTGGTTATAAATAGGGTAACTATACTTACAATTGGATATAACCCCAGTTACGGTACTTATAACTGTACGTACTAAGTCCCATGAAGCCCCAAGTAATCTGAGTCTTGAACGGCTCGAAACCCTCCGAAATAGAGCACCCGGAGGTGAAAGAACCCAAAGCATGAGCAGGTTTGTATGTAGCACTTTGCAGGGGTTTTGGTAGTAGGTTATGTGCATATGCATATATATATATATACATATAGGTATACACAGATATATATATATATATAGATATAGATATAGATATAGATATGATTATATTCTTCCCATACGGATACAGATAGGGTTTTGTAATAATGTGGCCACTTCGTCGAGGTTTCTGCAAGCATGGTTTGGTTCTGGGTAGCTGATTTGGACCCACATACTCGCTCAGTATAGTATTAGTGTTTAGTGCACTCACTCCCAATCTGTTTGGTATTCTAGTATGAGTTATTAGGATTGTTCTTAGTATTAGTAGTAGTGCATTCTCTCTCTCTCTCTCTCTCTCTCTCTCTCTCTTTCTGTCCCTCTCGCTGGCTCTTTCTGTCGCTCCCTGATCCTCTGTGCATGGGAATTAGGCTCAACAGCCCTCCAGATCGTTCTCGTAAGAGGTCCGGCAAGAAGCCCTGGTGATATATTATATTAAAAAAGAGGGATATAAATACAAATATAAATATATATATATATATATATACAAATATATATATATATATATATATATATGTATTATATATATATGTGTATATATATATATATATATATATATATGTATTATAATCTTATTCGTCTATTTACACATATAGAGAGTGACCATAATGGGGATATAATATTAAATGTAGGGGACCACAGTTGCTTTGTTCTTCTCTAGCGGTCCGATTCACCGAGGAACACATCTTCCAATTCGGCCCGCTTCCACTTTGAAAAGCAAGGGGCCCTTGCGCCGTGAACTCTCAAGAGGGCCGCTTTTATGAGATTGGCCACAGGGGAACGGGACGCGTAATGAAGAAGAGGTTGTAAGTTCACCGCTGCATGCAGAAAGTTGAATCCGCATCTAAATATCCAGGACATCCCATGACACGTTGCTTTGGCCAGACATGCTGTTCTCTCTTCGACCTCAAGGCATATGTTGGCTCCCAGTCGTTGCCGCATTAGCTGCTGTAGCCTACACTGTAGCCAGGGCCGATGAACCGAACCGTGTGGAAGGTGCTTGTGGCGTGCTTGGCCTCTTTGGCCTTGCCGGCCGCAGCGCACGCCAGCCAAGGCACATGCCAGTGCGATGGCATCGCCGACTGGGACGACCCCAGCTTTGGCAGGTGCGACTGGTGGGGCGATGTCCACATCACCAAGAGTTGGAATTCCCCCGACGTCTTTGACTTCCAGTCTCTTGGCGTCTACTCCTATGCTTCGACCACAAAGTGCGGAGGAGACTTCGAAATGCAGATCTTCCAGTGCCCCTACAGCAAGAACGGGAATGCGGTGGCCATCGGCGTCGCGGTGAAGCTGAACGACGGGGACGTGGTGATCGTTGCCAACGACACGGTGACCAACCCAAACGATGCCGACGTGTCGACGGAGAAGATCGAGAACCTGAAGAAAGGTGTCAACATCCTCAGCGACGACAAGTGCGTTCGTCTCAACGTGAACACGAAGCTCATCCGCAGGGCCCCAGGTCTGTTGCACAACGGAAACCTCCGAATCATCAACGAGGCTCTGACCAACGAGGGCATCTGCGGTGCTCCGTCGTTCGGCGGTTCCTATGTGTCCCCTGACAGCCCGGACATGCTCTTCCCCGACGAAGTGTTTGAAGACATGTGCGGCTACTGCAAGTCTCAGACCGGCGTCTCCGTTCCAGGCTGCGGTGCTCCGGACGATGGTGATGACGAGCCAGAGATCTCGCCGGGTTGCGAGTTCATGCAGCTGAGGCCCAAGGGCAGAAAGGTCGTGGATTGTGCTGGCGACCAGGACGCCGTGATCGAGGAGGCCAAGGCGGACGGTGAGAACTGTGTGGCCTACGTGGGCTTGGGTAAGTCCTTCTCGTGCTCCGATTTCTGCGCCGAGAAGGGCTCCACTTGCGAGATGGCCATTGACCAGCCGAACGGCCAGCAGTGCGTGGCCTCCGTGTCCAGCCTTGATCAGATTGACACGAACACGGTGAATTGCGACTCCAAGCAGTTCCGGGATCTGCTCTGTGTTTGCAAGAAGCCGGACAACCCAGCCCCAGGGCCCACCCCTGAGGAGGCGTGCGCAGCCACGATGGATGGCTTCACTCTGACGGATGCTGCGAAGCTGTGCCGCGAGAAGGCGGACTGGCTGCAGGGCGTGCCTTACCCGCCCACTGGAGCATCTGGCGCTGCCGGCGAGAAAGAGGCCTTCTTGCGCGCTTGCATCCTTGATGTTTGCTCCGCAGAGCCAGAGGATCGCGAAGACGTGGCGGAGAATGCTGGCGACCAGGATCCCAGTGATCCTCCGGTGCCGCCATCAACGACGACCACGACAACGACGACCAGCACTTCTTCGACCACCACCAGCGCTGCCACGACCACCACCACCACGACTCCAGCAGTTGTCGGGGATGAGTTGTATGTCTTCGGTTTCACTCCCTACGTCGGCTCCTCATCGCCTTACATGCCGGAGGGTGTTGTTGAAGTGGAGTCCCTCCCTGACGGCAACACCCGCCTTTCCTGGAGCCTCACCGGCCTCGACCCGGGCTGCAGCCAGACTTGCAAGAACGACAACTGCTGCGGGGTGGTCATCTACGAAGGCGGGAATCGGGCAGACCGGCAGTCGATAGCGAATGCTCAGCTCGTTGTAGATGGTTTTAGTGTAGGTGACCGCAACATACCGACATACCAGAACCATTTCATAATTAGGACCACATCCAAGAGCACCTGTTTACCAAGTCACGGCAACGGCGATTGTCACACAGAATACTTGCGATGCTAAACATTTTTACACTGATCATCTGCAAGTACAAATTACAAGCGCTACCAGCTCGAAGGCGGCGAGTAAAAGCCCCACGGCATGCAACCGAAAACAACCGGCCCATACACGTAACGATTCTGAATGATTCTGCAGCAACTCTGAAATTGAAACCCGTTGAAAGTTGCATGTGTTGGCACAGTGCCGGTGTCCCTGTGGAGGCACGAGCTGCGAGGAGCCTGCCGGTGCTCCTCTGTGGCTAAATTCTGTGAGGTACATCACCAGCCCATCGAACGTGCTGTCCCAGGAAGTGAAAACGGGCCTCGGAAATGACGACGTGCTTGGCCGCACTGTGGTGATCCATGACAAGAAAGGCAGAAAAATTGCCTGTGGCATCATCGAGCCGTCCACCACCACGGTCTTCGAAAAGTACCCCAAATACGGCGGTGACCTCCCATTGACATCCGGTGGTGTCCAGGCGCTCTCTCTCTTGACTGAATGCTTGTGCAGTGTGCAGGGGCATGTGGCCACGAGTATCAGCTGTCTCGGTGCTTATAAAAGTTAAAGCATCTCGGTCTAAAGCAAGCTGCACGTCATTGCTGCTCGAAAGGTTGAGTCGGATGATGGAACGCAGATGCTCAGCTGGCTGTTCACTCAAGGCCTCGACCCCCGGTGCGATAAGACCACCTGCACGGCGGCCAACTGCTGTGGTGTCCACATCCACGAGGGCACGACCTGCTCGAATGCTGCCTCCGTCGGCGGCCATTACTGGAACACGGACCTCTACCCGGAAGACCCCTGGATGGGCGTCCGCTATGTGATTCAGGGCTCCATGCCGTCGGCGGTGAACGACCTGAGCGTCACCACGGGCTACAACGCCGAGGACATCGACGGCCGCGCCGTGGTGGTCCACGACTACGACGGTGTTCGGATTGGTTGCGCCATCATCGAGATGCCAGAAGAGGAGCCAGAGCCCGTGGACGGTGATGACTTGTACGTCTTCGACTTGAGCCCTTACGTCGGTTCCTCGTCGCCTTACCAGCCACAGGGAGTCATCGAGGTGAAGTCCACGGACGACAGCACGACGGTGCTGTCCTGGAGTTTGACTGGCCTCGACCCCGGTTGCAGCGGCACGTGCACCGAAACTAATTGCTGCGGCATCCACATTCATGAAGGCTCGGAGCTGTTCTTTGTAGGCACATGTCTATGCTGGGGTCTTACCCTCACCAAGTTCCCAGGACTGGCTCTGATGCAATTACCCGTAAACTCCACAGTCTTTGCAACCCCAAAGCTGCAGTAGCCACACTCCTGACGCTTGGCGCAACTGGTCGCAAGCAGCAGGGCTTCGACGCATGTTGAAAGTGACTCCTGACTCCTGCTTCCCGGAGCCTTGCAGGCATGAGCTGTGCCGAAACTGCGGGTGCACACTTCTGGGATGGTGACGGAGAGGACCCTTGGCTGTCCATCAAGTACGACTCCAGCACGGACCCTGCAAACGTCCTCTTCGTGGAGGTCGACACGGGACTCGGCCGCAGCGATCTCCTCGGCCGTGCAGTGGTGATCCACGACAAGACAGGCGCTCGCATCGCCTGCGGCATCATCGAGGACCGCATTTCATAATATGACACTTCTTTTCGTGAGCAGCCGGCAGCTAGAGTCTTCGAGGATTTTGCCTGCACCCTCAACATGCAAGCCTCCCAAGCCTTGTGTCCCCGAAGCCCTACAATC